TGCTCAAAGTGCTTAACAACGAGATTGGCCTCTAATTAGAAACATTCCATCTATCACCTTTCTTGAATAGAGGCATGACATGTGCGGTCTTCCATACAGTTGGAAATATGCCTATATGAATTGATTTGTTAAATAAAAGTGTTAAAGGGATACAAATATAACTGGCAGTATTTTTTAATAAAATATTACTTATTTTATAAAAACCATTAGCCTTCTTACTTTTTAAGCAACTTATTAGGTCTTTAATTTCCTGTTCTACGATTGTAGGCATTTCAAAAATGGAATCGGTTCTCAACCGAAAAGGTGGAAATGTTTTGTCGGAGGTATTGCCAGCAATGGATCCAAAGAACGAGTTTAATAATGAAGCCTTATCAATATCGCCATAAGACACAGATCCATGTATATTTGAAACTAAAGGTGGGATAGATGACGACTTTTCGCCTAAAATGAATTTCAGGAATTTCCAATAATTAGGTTAAGACATATCATTCGAATTTATAGAAGACGTGATTTTTTCATTATAATTATTCTTTAAAGTTTTTTTAAAATTGTTAACCTTGTTTCGCTGTAATTTGTATTTATTAACATCATGTTCGGAGTTTGTACGTATTGCAATTTTTCGTAATCTATTTCTGATGCGTATGGCTTTACGGATATCAGAGTTAAACCAAGGTTTATCAGACGGACGAATCGTTACCCACTTTTTCGGTATACAAATATTTATAAATTCGTTAAGTTTACTATAAAATAAATCAACAGAAGTATCCAAGTCCCAGTCAATAAAATATGAATTCCAATCAAACTGATTTATGAGAGAATTTAGTAAAACAAAATTCGCATTTTTATATAAAATAATTTCTCTCTTAAAAGTAGATAAAACGGGAACAGAGACATCTATGATCGCCAGAACTCCCTTATGATCAGAAACCGATTTTTCAAATTCAATCGTTTCGCTTAAACACACCTTTATATCATCTTGAACAGCAATTATATCAATTAAAGTCAAAGTGGTAAGAGTTACATGCGTTGGTGTATTAATTACATTTTTCAAATTATTAGTTGATAAAATATCTTCTAGTCTACTGTTCCTAGCTAGTAAATCGTTGTTCAAGTCACCTAAAATGAACACGTTTGATGTAGTGTTATATGCTATCTCTATAGAATTTTCAAATGGAGTCCAGAAATCATAAGACACGGTTGGTGGCTTATAGAATATAGCAACGAGAAGAGTAAATTTTGGTAGTATCACTTGAACCCAAATACTCTCAATGTCTGGAAACTCAATATCCGTTCTTCTTTTACAATGCAAGTTACTATTTATGTATAAAAGAACCCCTCCTCCATAACAATTCCTATCTTTACGAAAAGGTATATGAAAATAGCCCCAAGTCAATGTATCGCCACTTACATTATTATCAAGATGGGTCTCTGTAAAACAACATATGTGATTTTCACTTACGATATCATGGATTGTTTCAAGCTTATTACGGATACTACGGGTGTTTAATTGAAAAAGAGATAGTTTGCCCAATGAATGGAGTGTTCCAGGACCCGGATTAAGTTCAACATTACCTGATCTGATTAGAACGATAAGATAGTAATAAATATTAACGTTAATATTAAAGAAAATGAACAGCAAGATGATTATCCCCAATCTTAATCTGGAATGTTTAATATTACTAGTAACTCCACTATCGACATTCTCAAGCACTAAATCCCGTTTAATCTCCTGGAAGATTTGTGAATAAGACATAAGCTAGTTCAATGTCACCGACTATGGAGTACATTATATTAACAAGATTACAAATTTTCAAAGTGGTTTTCCCGGGCATGATAGATAAATGCAAAAATATAACAAAATCAAAGTCTATGAAATTCTGTGGGTGAAAGGAAGATGTAGATACACTTGCAAACCAAAAATAAACGAGTTTAAGCGTAATTAAAACATGTAGGTATGTAAGAAAACTATATACAACATAGTGACCCGTATTCTCAAATAGCTGAGACATACAGGTTTAGAGAAAACTTCTGTATAACCAAAATACGTACGCAATCATATAGATTTGAAGTATATGCAAATATACTAAACTGACATGATGTTAAACAGCAATCAAAGTCTATTTCAGTAAAGTTTACAACTAACAGTTATAAACAACAATAACTGAAGTTTACTAATTTAGTAGGGTAATGTAGGTATATAAATCTATGACATCATATTCTATATCAGTCTATTTGAGGGGAATTCCAAGACAAATTTGACAAACATTGATAATAATTGTGGATTTGGAATTCCCGTAAACTAAATTGAAAATTCCCGGAGGAAAATTCCTGCTTTGGTCTAATTTTAGAATGAGGGTGAGGCAGCGGTGGCGGAGTGTGTAGAAAAATGACTGGTAGTTTATATGAGACAATAAACTATGTAACTATTATTTTAATGTAACAAAGGAAGTCTCCTGACCGAGAAAACAGCAGGGATTATCTTAAAAGAATATATGAATAATCGTTAAAATCTGGTTTTTTAGGATTCTTAAATTATCTAGATTCAATATCTAACCTAATCAGTCACAAATCTAATTACAAATGTAGCTAGTGTAACGTAAATAACCCTACAAATAACCATTTTTTATTTTTTAGCTTGGGCCTATCGTTTAAAATGTCTTACAAAAGTGTAGAATTTGACAGTGAGAAATGCCACACTTACAAGTTGATTGTAAGATTTGTTTCTAGAAATTGAGTCTTCAATTTTTCACGTTTCTTTACTTTTTCACGTATGTCACATTAAAACAAAAATCGTAGATCTAAAATTACACTTGAGACAAAATTCTATCTAGGTAAACCTGTCTGTATCTTTAACTCATTGGGGTCAGGGGCATATCTAAAACAAGCATGAGAAGGAACTAAAAATAAGAGGTCTCTCTACCAAGCGAGGCCTAAAGATCCAAAGCCCATCGAGACCAGGGGTCTGGAGGCTACCATAGGCCCCAAAGAGGCCAACGGATTTCAATTGGCCTGGGATGAATTTTTAGCATTTAAAGGACTTAAATTTCACTAAAAACAAAACCCATCACAGGCCGGAGGGGAGGCCACGGTCAAATGTCCCTCCTCTTAAACACGCTGAAGGGGTTTATTCGACTCGCCACCACACTTTGTTTAATGAAATAAAATTTTTTATAAAGCACTGTTGTTTGTTATGAACATTATTATGAAACATTTGCTGGCGTTTCTGTGGGGCGAGGGTAGGAAAATAGGCTGGCCCTGCTTTGCCCCCCCCCCCCCCCCCCATACATACAGGGACAGA